TATATATATATATATATATTACTTCACAGAAAATTGAAATAAAATGAAAATTTTTATATTAAAAAGAAATTGTATTTTTATCATATTAAATTAACTATTTGTCCTAAAATATACTATTTATAATGAAACCTATTGAAGCTGGTTGAACTCCCTTTAGGAGGTATATTATAATCATTATTTGAAATTCTAAAATTTCCTTTTATTCTGCTTTTATAAATTAATCCGCAGAGGATTAAAAAATTAATAAAATGCTATTATTAGAAAAAAGAAAGAAAGATAAGAATCTAATTTTTACGTATTGTAAATGTAAACATTTTGGTACGTTTAAAACATTTATACTAGTTCTAACTTTTGTGTAAATAACAGTATGTAATTGAAATATTATATAAAATAGGCTTAATACCCTATTGTTGAATTAAGTGAGAAAGGATTAAAAGGTAATGCGGTGAGCGTGGATCGAACACGCGACCTTCAGATCTTCAGTCTGACGCTCTCCCAACTGAGCTATCCCCGCTCGTTAAATATATAACCTAAACTTTATTTTATCTATAAAATATATATATAAATATATATGTATTTATTATTTTACTTTTAAATTAATCTTATTTAGTTTTTCTATATGAAGAATGTTTATGAGAAACTTGCCTAATAATTTAATAAAAGAAGATAGCCTCTATGAGTTATGTCATCAATTTAAGCATAGTTATAATTCTATAGAGTGCTTGAGTTGAAAGTATTCATGATTGCTAACTGGTGAATAAGCGAAGGAACAAAGGCTTTCGTTTGAAATACTGTGATTCTGTGACCCTTATTTATGTTGCAAAATCTAAAGAAAAGAAAAATATGTCATAAAGATTTGCTTCTAATCATGTATTCCAAAATCATATTCAAATATTCAAAGACTGCTTCCACAACTGTCTATACATTCTGTGGTCAGTGTCCACACGCACACTTATAATATTCGTAATACATGTGAAAGTATGTGCATAGAAAAAATACAAGAAAAGAGATAACATACACCAATCAAACTTCACCTTTTGATGAATGCACTCTATCTTCATAAAATCAGCTCCCACTTGCATAAAGTGCAGGCACCAAAAACCAAAGTGAAAACAAACCAATACCCTCTAAAAAATGTAATCTAAAGAGAGAGAAAGAAGTGTCATTAGTCAAACAAATTCTCAAGTGCATTTCTCTTTCTTCCACATGCAACCGGTAACAACTCCTTTTGAGTTTGGCTTTGAGGAATGTCTTGGATAGATGACAGAATTGACGACTCACTTCCTATAATCACTCCTTGCTTTTTCATATATTCCACTTTGTCTTGGAAGAGGTAAACCAATCCAATGATAGTGACTTCCACAGTGAAAAGGATAGTCCAAAGTGTGGTGCTTTTTAAGGTTCTCTTATGGTAGGCTTTCAAACCAGTGTAAATGTTGATGACCCCCGCAAGAGAAACTATTGTTCCCAGTATCCAATGTAGTAAGTACCAATAACTCCTCTCTTTTTTTCCCCTGCAAACTCAGTTACAAATTATATAACATTACTATACTAGGCAAAGTTTGCTGTTTGGAATAATGAGCTTAGCAGGTTTGTAAAACCAAGTGAAAATTTTGATGAATGAACCTGTGTGGTCTGAAAAATCCAATCAAGCCTTGCACCAATATAGCACCATAAAGTGCCAGGCCTAACTTCTGATGGTTGTTATCAAATGAATTTTCAAACTTTTTCAGGGACATTGCAGCTCCAACTGTGGCAAGAAGTACTGAAAGCATCTGTTCGATGAAATGTTAGACTGTGAACAATGAAGAATTCAAGGAAAAAAAACTGTATGTTTGTATATACAATGCATCAAAATTAGAACAGAAGCCCACAGATAATATTAATGTATGTTAATTCTTGAATAGTTAAGTTTGTTGATGATCAAACTTGTTAACTTAAAGGAGCCAAAGTAATATAAAGCCTGTGGTCTGAAAGGGAAAGAGAGAATAAGAAAAAGCACTTTGTGCACTAAGGTAGAAAGGCACATAGGTATAAAAGAACAGAAAATTCTCTGCGACTTTACATGTATAACAACTCCTAATTAGCTCAATTCAAATGATAATCATGACATAGTGGTTAACTAAAAGAAATAAAAAAAGCAATATGAAGGTGTGGTCGAAAGGAAAATAGATCATCGAAAAAAGCTCTGTACACCCCACTACTAAAGTTAAAGCAAGTTATGATTATGTTGTAAAACAAATATCAAAAACTTAATGATGGCATGATGTAACTTTCAAGAAACATCTCATACTCTAAGTCTACTTACTATATTGCCACTACTCCTATTTTTTGAACTTTCTACAGCATAATCAACACTTCAGCATAATAACGTGAGAGGTTAGAGAAGTAACATCAAATCAATCTTATGGTCAAGATTTGGCATGAGTAAAACCAATTTTGATATATAAATGGTAGAAGGGTGAAGATCAATTAGCTCCACTTATGGTACTATACTTTCCCTACATGTATGTGACGTGCATGCTAAAGTATGAATAGCTTTTACGAGAAGAAATAGAAGAGAAATGACCTGAAAACCAACATGGAGATAGAAGAGGACTTTACTCCTTCTAGATCCGGGTTCTGCCTTAATGGACCTCTGATGAGAAGTATTCCGTGGCATTAAAAAACCAGTTGAAGCCCACAGTAGCAGCCATGTACTGCAATAGCAGATGATCTGTTGTTGATTCATCTGATATAGTAAAGGTGGGGTGTTTAGCACAAACAAATGAAGTTTACTAGTTGTGATAATCATGTATGTATCCAAGGGGGCATTGGTTTGGGATGAAGAAGAAGCAGGATGAAGATTGATGAAAAGTTATAAAGATGAAACTACAAAGAAAGATGGACTACCTTGTAACTTTGTTATTTGGTTATTGTGACTACTAGAGTGATTGCCTCCTCATAGGCCTGCAGTCACTGAATAGAAGAGCAGACATACATTAAAATGAAGCCAATGGTTTCCAAAGGGTAGCATTTCCACAACCCAACAAGAGGAAGGAAAAACTGAGCCTACAAAATGGTACCCTAAGAGTCTTCTCTCTCCTCTATTTGAGTTTTGATGATGGTTTAGGATATGATGTTTTTGGGATGGCTAAGGGAGCTTTTAAAGTGTGGTGAAGGACTTCATACCTCTTAGTTTGTTAAGAAGCTTTACAAAAGTATGTAATATGAATATACTAATTAAAGTGCAATGGGCTTTAATTGACTAAATCCAACAGGGTTAGTTGAGTGTAAACGTTGGAAGTATTAAGAAGTGAGTAAAATCTAAAAAAGGTTAAAGTTTGTTCATTTGAAGGTGGGGTTGGTTGAGATTTGCTTACATTGTCATGGACGAGTTGAATTGTGAAACGAAGAGGTCAAAAACATACAGGAATGCACTTGACTTGAGAAACTGACACCAACATTTTGTAAAGGTAACATAAAGTGGACAACATAAACCGGCATCACCACTCCATACCCATTGTATTCTTGCTTTCAATTATTGCTTTCTTCCATTATTTTGAAAATCCTTATTATATGCATAATTATTTATAATTTTATTATAATAATATAATTTTTTAAATTTCATTACGAATTGTATTGTTATAAGATGGTTGTTTATGGAAACGATATTTTCAAAATACCACCCTTTATTAATGGCAAGAATCCAACTTCTTTCTGAATACAATATAATGCTCTTAGTCCATCTAAAACGTTTTGTAATATTGTGTCATAGTGTTGACTATGTGTTTATTATTTATCCTTAGTTTCGTAACATTGTTGAGGATACTAAATTGTAGTGATTTTACATATATTTTATTTCTCGTTTCCAAACTTTGGCCACCAAGAGGTAAATTATCAAAGTCCAATTTAGAACTAAGAATATATATATATATATATATATATATATATATATATATATATATATAAAAGTTGTCACAAAGAAAAACAATACAAAGCAATTCAAGAAATAAAGCGTCATATATAATAATTCGGTTAAGAAGAATGTCAAGCATGGGTGTGGGAAGAGATTGATCTGAAGTCCAATTGTCATCAGATCTTATTAAAAAAATGAAGATGGACATAAAACATACATCGGTACCCATAATGAAAACTATGAATGACTTCTAATGACATTTGGTTTGAAGAATGCTCCAATCACATTCCAATTCTTAATGATTGAAGTTTTTCAGGAGATGTTGAAAAAATGTCTTTGGTTTTTTTATTTGATATATAGGTATATAGTCTGACGTGATAATCTCATTTAAAACATTTAAAATTGCTGCTCAATTTCAATGGCATGGTATGCATAAAGACATTGCTAATTTTGTTAAATAGTACCTCATTTGTCAACAACTAAGTATACCAATGATTTTAATGGAGAGATAATGTCACAAAGAAAAACATCACAAAGATAATTCAAGAAATAAGTGTCAAAAAGAATAATTTTGTTAAGGAAAAGGACGACGTACAAGAGAGTCAATTTCAAATATGGGAGAGTATGATACAACAAAACAATTGGTTATAATCTCAGTAGTTGCTTTAGAGTATAGAAATATTCTTCTTCCATTGTAATGAACTCATAATGCCATAATGCATACAAAGACTTGTCCACATTTTCATTTCTTTGCGCATTATCTTTTAGTGTAAAAGTATTAAAATAAATTCCTTTGAATTTGTCCGCTTTTTGTATAATGAGATGCAAAACGTAAATTACAAAAATAGGGTAAAAGGAATACAATTTACAGAACTGGATGGTGTCATCGATGGGGGATTTTGAGTATTTTCTATGAATGTTTAGAGAAGAATTAAGAAAAAGTTAAAACATTTACGACACCCACCAGTTTTTTTTTTTTTTCATTTTACTATATTTGTCTTCTGAAAAGTGTTCATAGCTTAAAAGTTAGATATTTTTATTATATAAATAACATAGTAGTAAATATTTTATGATGCGTCGATGAATGTGTTCAATGTTTACATGTGCAAGAATGGTTTGTTTCAAAGTCATTAATTTGCACAAAAAATTAGTTCAATTATAAATTATTTCACTTTTACCTTCTGTTTCAATAGACAATTTTGTCGTTTGTTTTAGAAATTTAACTATATTAAATTTAAATTATTTTCATTTCAGAATTATATACTTTTCTAATATTTTATTTGAATAATATAATTCAAATTTATGACATTTTAATTTTAATTATTATCAAATACAAAAGTTTATATTTCAACTTTACATACATTGATTAAAAAATCACTACAGACTTCAACATAACTTCCTAAATGTTAAATCCTAAGTGACACCATCTAAAAGTAATAATTGTTAATGTTAACAAAAGATGTTTGAGATCAGGAAATAAAAATATTGATATTGAATAAAAAATTTTATGAATTGATAATTAACTTATATTAAAAAAGAAAGTTTAATAATAAATAATTAAAAAATACCTACGATCACTTTAATTTTAAAAAAATATTTATAAACATTAATAAAAAATAATATTAAATTGATGACGTCTGAGCTTGATTATATCTACAAAAAATTGTACTGATTTGAACGACTTTAATTTAAAAAATATATATTATTAACATTAATAAAAAATAATAATATAATTGATATGCCCTTAACTTTGGTTAAGTCTATAAATCTGGACTTCTTTTGAGCAGTCATATCAATATAAGAGATATGGATTTAAAAGAAAAAAATATAAATAATTTAAAACTTTTAACATTTTTAAATGAAATTTAAATTAATTATTTTAAATAATTAAATTAATCTCATAATGTTGTAAAATTTTATATCTAAATAATATGTTTTGTCCTTTTTTTATAATTTAAATTACGTTTTCTTAGTCAATGTCTATTCTAATAATTAGTCTTTTCTTCCTAGTTCGCATTAAATCTCAAATTGCTGGAATCGTGTAACGCAGTAGAATGACATGACACCAACACTATTTAACAAAGTCTAATTATCATTTAACATCACTCAGTTTCAATACAAAACGCTCATAACCATATACTCATCACCAATATAAATAAGTAATCATTAAACCATATTCTTTTTCCCAGAAATAATACAGGGCAATCAGGTCTATTTTGGTGTTACTATATTATATATGTGATCGGGATCACGGACTCGACAAAGTAATATATATTGGTAAGAGTATCTCGACCGGTACCAACGATGAACCATTAGTAGAGATTAGGACAAAAAAGGACTAACCATAATTAACAAAAAATTAACAAATAAAATGAATTAGCAAAATTTTAAATAAATTAAGGAAGGTAATCATCTCGGCAGTCTAGACCTAACTAGACAAAAGTACGTAAAGTCAATATAAATATCATTGTTATTGAGATAATTAATTATATATTTATTATAACTTTTGTTATTACTTGATATATTTACCTGATTTATTATTATAACTTTTGTTATTACTTGATATATTTACTTGATTTAGGTTTCAGAGTGTTTTTTACATGCACACTCCTTTTTGAATGAGAATTATATTTGTATCTATGAACATCTCATAATACCTAGAAGCTGAAAAGGGGTATCTCGAATAGAAGCCTAATAGTGTAAATAACCTTTTGTGGAGTCTTTGCAGTGTGATTTCGGTTTGATAAGAACATTTAACGCCCATCATGGGATCGAGATACGCTCTGTGAAGAAAAAATGGCCCTATTATTAGAGATGAAGAAGGAGTTTCCAGAGTTCAAGAAGAGGAGTGCCGAAGAGATGGATGCGTTGACAGAAGAGAATGCAAGAATGAAGAGAAAGGTGGAAGAGGTGAAACATGAAAAAAGCAAACACGTCACCACCCCAACAACAAACAAAGTATCTTGTCCTCGACCAACACCTAAAATGGCGGAGAAAAGTGGTTATGCCACGAATCAGCAAACAGATGGCACCATAAACACTTTCACAACCCCTAGAAGGAGCCATAAGCATCCTTTCATGAGATAATGGAAACTCTATCAAGTAATTGGAAGTCCCTGACCATAAATGATTGCGATTTACTCTCAAATGAACGCATTGAAATTTATGTCACACAAGTTAGTTTGTACAGTGATTTTGTTATGTGTACACTTTTTCCTACCTCCCTTAAAGGAACGACCTTGAACTAGTTCACTCGACTTCCTCCTTTATCTATTAATTTCTTCAACACCTTGGTGACACACTTTAGTACTCAATTTTCTACAATAGATCTCACTATTGCACATCCATAACGTTAGTCAACATAAGGCAAAAGAAAGGAAATCACTGTAGGACCCAGAAAAAATAGTTATCTAGAAAGGTGATGGGCATGAGTACCATGAATTAAAATAATAGAAGATAAGTATTATTGAAGTGAAGTATATCATAGATGATTAGAATACCTTGTTATAGGTTGGTGTTCATGGGTTTAATTCTTGGTGTGTGCATAAAATGTGTTTTAATTATTTTATTATTATATTAAATGTTTGTGTGGCATATATATATATATATATATATATATATATATATATATATGTATGATTTGTTGTGCATGATTGTAGTAAAGATAATTGTGATGGTGGGTCTGGTTTGGTGTAATTGTTTAGAACTTATGTGTGATGTGTTCGAACATAGACTAGTCCATATCTATATTGGTTTTGTTTTGGCAATAGGCATTATAAACATGTTTTCTTAATTTTGGGCTTGTGAAAAATAATATTGAATAATATTAGTTTATTTTACTTCATGTGGGGATTTAACCATT